GTTTCAATTTAGGCAAATAAAATCAATATGGCCAGGAAAGCAAAGTGCACTGAAATTTTAATTTAGTTGAGCCTGAACAAAAATATAATAATAATAAAAATCTGTCCCCAGATGATTACTATTAGTTGACGAGAAATATGGCATCCCTCACCTTAATACAGTAAACAAACAGAAATAATCCCCCCACCTCTTAATCATTACACTAGACATCTTCAAGACAATGATACTCCTTCAAGAAACTGCAAAGGAAAGGATCTGATGCTACTTTGTTAATGGAACTTAAAGAACAGATTGTCAGGCATACCAAGAATTTTCAGATGCATTTCTGCATTTACATCTGTGAGAGTTGTGGATTGTCACAGTTCATTTGCTTTTGTAAAAAGATCCACAATTTGCTGACAAGCAACTAGAAAGGTCCATGCATTGATTGGGGTTGGTTAACCCATTTCAGTATTTTCTTTAAAAAACACACACACACACACAAAGAGAGAGAGAGCGCACAAGTTGTTTCCTTCTCCTACAATAATGCAAAGCGGATAGAGACAAAGGGGAAGGGAGGGAAATAATGCAAAAATAAATAATAAAATATAAAATACTTCATACAAAGTACTTCAAATGTGCCATCCATGTACAATTACTTCCAAAAGCAAGCATGTTTATAAAGCAGAATCAGCAATAAAACCGTTTTGATTACAGAACATATGAGCACCTTGACTCCATGGCTGCAATCCTGTGCACCTCGGTGCATGGGTAAGTCAATTGCAATGGGATTCAGACATGTGTAATACCGCGCAGGATTGAAGCCCATATTTGAAAGTCCTTTGGGAAGTGCCTCTTTTTATTTGTTTTTTTTTTTGGTTTATGTTGAAATCTTACAAATGCCATCTCTCTTCTTCTTTTTTAGTATACAGGATGTGATAAACGTACAGTCTTAACAGCATGTGACACATTTTTTTACATCACCGAAGATTAAAAATAATCCTTAAGTACTATCATTTGTTTTTAGTTTAAGAGCCAAGGTGTACTGTATGTCAGTTAACAGAGTACAGTAATAGAATGTAGCCAGATTGCCAATGCAAAGAATGCTTGAGGAAATTGACATTTTCCCCCAAATCAGGGTTCATTGTAATAAAGCTGCATTTTCCTATAGCATGCCAAAAAGTGGGAGTTTGATAACGATCTGCACAGTGCATAATTTCCTTTAAGTTCCTTTAAGCAATCTTGTGTTACAAGAGTACAATTAAAAAGTCCATCAGTATCCCAAGTCCCCCTGCATTATCTACCCTGCCACACTTTGCTAATGCTTCTTATCACTTCAGTTGTTAATACTGTTCAGTGTAGAGACAGTCTTTCTGAGGTAGACTGTTCAAGTTCAAGGACAAGTCTTTCTTACGAAATGCATGACATTCAAAAAAAGACAACAAATAAATACTACATGTACAATATGTAGTAATGAGGTAGAAATGGTTTTTTAAAGAACAATGTCTGAATACACACCCAATGTGGCGGTTGGGGAAAATCTAGATACATAGATATATAGATATAAAATAAATGAGGCCACCAGAAAAAAAAAGGTCTAATGACAGCATATAAACAACAAGAAGGACAACTGGGGTGGGTGAGATAAACATAAACACACAAGTTTAGGTGTGGAAAATAAACTTTTGCCTCTTTGTATACTGCAAGACAACAAGGAGGGATGACTATATTCCCAACTCTGGTGTAGAACAGAACCATTTTATAAATATTTAACATTCTATAGGACTGGTTCATATATTCTCACGCAGCTCTGTAGCAAGGCTGACCCACACTGCCGACATCCTACATATCATTGAGACAGGGAGGTGAACTTTTCCTGCTTTCAGTCTAATTGTCTTTGACAATTGCAGTGCCTAGTTCTACACTCCTTGTGTTGTATTTAAAAACAGGGGAAAGAGTAGAGACTTCTTCATTAAAGATGCAGCATCCCTGGTTCACAAAAATGTATTTGGCAGGTTCAAAATCGAATGTCAACCAAAGGTCTTTGCAGAGTGGGAGACAGTTCATGTATTGACTAATCCCCAGTACAGCTATTTCTTTGAGCCCAGAAATATTGCTAGCTCTGTGTTTACTAATGTGCTTTGTATATAAATCTGCAAATGATTAAGGGACCGAAAGCTTTCATCATTCATTTGAAAAAGAAACCTAAAAAGTCCTTCAGGTTATGTAGGTACACACAAACATTGTATAAACACATGCACACATATAAGATGAAAGGGGAACACATGTTGATCTTCATATCTGTCTGGCACACATTTGAGCAGGTGTTTTGACCACATTCATCCCATTGAAATGAATGGGAGGTGAGTAAGAGCACTCATGTGCAACTCACATTTATGTCAATGGAAGTTGTGCAGATGTTTCAATGAAGAAGGCTGACGTATATAGTCTATATCTTACTACAAGGGTTGGCATTATGTGACCTTCAAAATGTTGTTGAACTGTAACTCTTAGCATTCTTCACCATTAGTTGCCAACCAGTGTTGTTGCAAGTTGCTGTTCAACAACACCTGGAGGGCTAACACAATTCCCACTTCTGCTTTGATATTTTAGAATTGCAATAATTTCTCAAAAGGATATGTGAGGTATAATTCAATTGAACCAATGGATTGGACTAGAAACAAAACTTAAAGTCAACCTCAACACACTGTTTTTGAGATCTCACTTTGAGAAAGAAAGCCACAGAAATGCAGCCTGTGTTGATTGGAATGAATCATATACAATAACATTTATCCACTCTAAGTTACACACATTTGCAGGCCATAGAAACCTTTGTTTCCTGCTTTTGACATGTAAACACATTACCATCTACCAACATCTGTTGGAATTAATTGGGGTTTTTACACTAGATTATCTCCTTTTGAAAATTGCCTAGCAAAGTATTACGCCAGCTCATATAAAATGACCTTGTACTATTTTACAGAGCATAGCCCCTGGACAGATGAGCTAGCTTTCCCAGATGGTGCTTTGCCTATGTGTTTTACTGGGAGGTTTTATTTTCTCCTTGATGGGTTTGAAATGCACAAGAAAAGCCATTTTATCCATCTATCTGCATTTGAATAGAATACAAATTGACTAATAGAGAAATATTTTGTGCAAAAGTAAATAGCCTCAAACTGCCTTCACATTCCATTGATCAGCTCAGTCAGCAAACTTTTCACTACTGTCCCTAATGGTCTAAATATTTTGGGCTGAGAAACATGCCAGAAATAGAGTATTTCTGCACAAACTTATATAAAGGACATTATACTGCATATTTGCATTCACATTGATAATTTGGCAGGCAGATAATTCTTCCCTGCGTTTACTGTTGTTGGACTTCTTGCTGCAATTGCAAAAAAGAAACTTTGTCTAGTGCAAAATTGGAAAGGCCCACACAAGCATAATTTTGTAGGTGGTTTACCCCAAACTATTCAAATACTTTTCTGAAAAGCTATTAACCTGGGATTTGATGCCTTCAATTAGTTACCAGTTGAAGAGCAGGAAGAATTTGGCAAGTGAATGTTTAACTGGTTTGGAGATATGATGATGGGAGAAGCTGTAACTATAACATTTCCCCTTCTACTAAAGGCACGGAATACCTATTAAATATGGAATCTGGCAGCCCTGTCTGAGAGTCTTTGTTTAAACACATTGGAGGTAAAGTCCTGGCCACTTTCTTCCCTCAGTCCTTTTAAATTCTCAGAACATCACTGTGTGTTGGCCATATCAACGCCCTCACAAAAAGCAGTCTTCTCATTCATGGCACATCCAAATATCCTGGAAGCTTAAGTCTCAGGATCTATTTCTTTTGTAATGAGACATACAGGATAGCCATTCCATGTGGGAGAGAATGTAGCAGCACAAGAAAAGAAAGGCCTTATTCACATAAGAACTGTGAAAGCAGTGGCTTCCCAGCCCAGTGTAGAGAGTTCGTTAAAAATGAGCAAATGGGGTCTGAGCAGGCTGGACAAAGGCTGAGCGATTCCATTTACCAGGGAACCTCCATTGGCTGAGATGTGATAGGATGTTATAGCTTGCTTCCTGCCTGTAGAAGGACGATAGGGAAACAGAGCTATTCTTCTTATGTTAGGTAAAGCATTATAACCCCACTAGCTGCAGCTGGACAATACTTGGTAGGAAAAGACTTTGATTTAAAAAAATCAGTTTCATCATCTAATCCTTTATTTTTAAACCTCATTGAACAATCAGCTCCTTTTCCAAAATACATAGGGAGATGTGAAGTCAAAGGTAGTGAAATCAAACAATTTTAATTAGAACATGGGTATTGGGATGGAAAATAATTTTTGTAAGCTGTTGTTCTGCATTGTGTTTTGTTTACTCAAAACTACTTAGTAATATCGATTGAGAAGGATTTTTAGATTTTGTGATGTAAATATAGTTTGTTTTCAAAAACATATTCGGATCTTTTAAATAAGCACAGCATGATAATAAACACAAAATGTAGTTATCTGAAAGGCAGAAGATTGATCCACAATCTACATGAGTAAACCTGACTGCAAGATCAATATGACTCTACTGCAAAGGGGATACTTGGGCTTCCCAAACAAAAAAAGGGAAAAGATCAGGGAAGAGAGATGTAAGGGGACAGACGGGAGAAAGGGAGGCATACTTCAAAAAGTAGCGCATCTATTTAGACTAATTTTACTATATCCTCATCAGTGAAAGGCACTGTTTTGTTTTTTTAATGGACCTTCTGAATTTTCCTTTAGAGTGAAAAAAATGAAATGGGTAGAATGTACATTTTGGTTTGTTTGCTTGGAGATTAAAAGATATTTTAAGGAATTAAAAGGGATGGATTCATCATAAATAAAATGCCAACCACCTACCCACTGTTAACTTACCTGCCCCTAATGTTTTGGCTGACTAAATGCCAAGTGTGATAACTGGACAAAACCTTTAAAGACACAAAATAACCAGGTAGCTTATTGGTCTCTTCTTCTTAAGGGCTTTTCAGTGCATTTGTTTCATGTATTCAAAGGGACATAATTTTAAAGTAACATTAAATGTCAGGGCCTTGCTAGTGTTCAGCTACTGCCGCTTTACAGTAAACGGAAATTATATATATATAGAAAAGACTGTTTTGCTCATGTGGCTGCAAAAGCTCAGATTGCTACAGTGTGCAGAGACATTACCAACATCAATCAGCTGTCATAAAAAGAATTGCTTATAAAAACATTAAAGAATACAAAGAAAGACAATGTGGAGTGGGGGCACAAAATGTACAGAATGCCACAAATGCTTGCCTTTCCAGAGGGAAGATAGTCCTGGCTTGACAAAAAGCAAAGAGGCAAATGGCTTCCCTTACTGAGGAAACTGTCACGCTCTCTCCTTCCATGTTGTCTTTTGATGGCAATCTTACGCATATTTACTTGGGAGTAAGCTAACTGAACACACAGTGCAACTGATTTTCAAGGAAACATGCACTAGTTATTCATGATACAAATGCGCATTCCTGATGAAATGTAATGTCCCATTCCTTTCTGTCTGACAAAAAGTAATACTAACAAAAATTGAGGTAGGAATAAAATGGTAGACACAGGCTGGAACATTTCTAATGGGCATGATTAAGTCTTGAAAAACAGAAGAGGCAACACACACATAAAAACAAGCAAACAACATTTCATTTGTGTGTCAAAAACGAATGGCGAGAAAGAGAAATGCAATTTGAAGGTTCAGTTTTGTCTCGCTTCTTTGTTTGGTCACTCTTTACTGCATTGCCAGAAACTGCTTTGCAACCCATAAGCAATCTCAGTGACCTAGAATGATTTTGTTCGACTGACTCAATGAAATAATCAAGACACCACAACTCTAACCAAGATATAAAAGCTGCTGGAGTCTAAGGTAATTTGCTTCTCAGAGTCCTAACTAGATGTTGCCTTTGACTGTCCCAGATGATGACATAATTCGACAGGGTGGCTTTCTTATTGTCTGTGCACTACCAACTTGTCACAAAATTGTCAAGGACTAAGGACTTTCACACACGACTGCCATGAAAATACTCCTCTTCTGTTTTGATCTCCAATATTGTTTTTATTTTTTAAAGAAATGTTACTTTTAAACACTGTGATACCCCCGCTGTTCCTATTTTAAAAGGTTCAAAGATTAATTTATAGCACACTTTCAGCTTGCTCCTGGATACATTCAAAGTATTTTTCCTTGTATTTTTTCCCAACTTTTTGAGGTAAACATACATATTTAATATAAAGTAACATTGAAGCCTAGCCTATTAACTCTCAGCAGTACATAGTGCTTTCAACACATTCCTTTGAGGTACTGTACAAATCACAATCACTTTCCTGAGTTTTTTTCTCTTTTTTGCAGACAGAACACTTAAAAAATGAATTGCAGAAATTAAGATCCAGATTTACCATTACCCTGTTTTACCTGTTCTTAGTTTAATACTTTAGAACAGACAGGACTGAGGAATACTGTTGCTCTTAAACTAGCCAAAGTGAAAACAAAAACAAGTGGGAAAAAAATAAACTGGTTCTCTGTCGCAACACAAGCATTCATTTCTTTAGTCCCACAACATTTTGAAGTTAAAGCTCTTTATATTAGCACATGCCACCATTGTAATTGTGAGGCAAACAAACAAACAAACAAAAAAATAAAAAAAATAAAGCACCACTTCAGGCACTTGACAGCAACTAAATCTTAAGAACAGCAGAATGGAATCAACACACAGGGTTCATGTCCATCTAAAATTCAACCCACTTGGCTCCTTGCTCACGATGAGAGTGTGTTGTCTAGACTGAACAGAACGGAGCATCGACAGATGCTTCCTGTCATCTGTGGCTTTTCAGATCAACAGCTCTTGTCTGATGCACTATTCCTTCAAGACTACACCTGGCTCTTTAGATGCAAGGTGATAATGTTTTTTTTTAATTTCCCTTCTCCCGTACCCTTTCACAATTTTAATACCACTGAAAAAAGGGATTCCATGCCCTATGTAACAGGTTTGTGTGTGTATGTGTGTGTGTGTGTGTGCGCGCACCAACATTCATTACATTTTTTAAAAAAAAAGACTTGTCACTGACTGCAACCAAACATTTTGTTCCATTCAACATATGTATCCAACTCCTTTTGAGATATGCTAGGCTGTATCTTGCAGAAAGCATTTTCAAAGTCTTGATATGTAACGGGCCTCAACTGGCTGGGCATAATGGCTGAAAGGTCTGTGGCTGGCATGGCGTGGAGTGGGCCAACGACTGCTTCCTGACACAAATGAGCAACGTCTAGTCCAGAAAAGCCTTCCGTACGCTGGACAAGCAGTGTAACCTCCTTGTCATTGAGACAGTAATTGTGCTGTGAGAGCAGTTGTACTATTATCTGGTGCCTTGCTGTGCTGTCAGGAAGTGGGATTAAAAGTCGTTTCATGAAGTACCTTCGAAGAGATTCATCTATTTCTTCCGGTTTACTGGTGGCACAAATTACTACTATTTGGTCCTCAGCAGAAGTGAGCACAGTGTCCAGCTGCATAAGGAACTCGGTTCTCATCCGACATACTGGACTATGTTCTTCATTCACTTGGGATGAAAGTAGCACGTCAATGTCACTAACAAAAATCACTGAGGGCTGGCGACACCTTGCCACAAGGAAGGAGGCATGAACTATTTTCTCTCCTTCCCCTAACCACTTTGTGACAAGACCAGAGCCAGAGATTTTGAAAAAAGTGGCTCCCAGCTGGCTGGCTATACACCTGCCCATTAATGTTTTGCCTGTTCCCCGAGGTCCAAACAAAAGGATGCTCCGAGGTAGAGCAGTCAGCCCATTGAATGCATCTGACCTCAATACTGGCCATAAAACCTCCTCTTTAATGACAGCCTTTACCAAATCTAGGCCAGCAATATCGTTCCAGTCTACGGGAGGTCCTTGGTTGATAATCTCATTGGTTACAAGGTCAATGAGGTGTGCATCAGTATTCTTCAGTTGTTCATCCACAGAGTGGTTAGATGAGGTAGCTGCACGAAGTCCCGGGCCTTGCATTGGGTGAGGAAGGAGCTGCCTGTGTTCATCACTATGTTCATTCATTACAGGGGAGCTGTATTTCCCAAATGGTTCACTTGCTCTCGATCCCAGTGAATTTTTAGTAGTACTGTAAGAAGGGGGTGTCAGAGCCCTACTGGACTGGCTGAATTTCCTTTGCTGTTCAGATGCCATTATCTGTTTTGTTGGCTTAAATGCTAAGGATGATGGTTCAGCACTTCTGTCAAAACCATTTCCTCGGTTTGCAGTTGAAATGCTGTTGTCAGGCATCCTGTACATGGGACTTTGTGTAGATCTCTGTTGGCCATAGCTGTAATTTCCATAAGTGGAGTCCATTTCTCCTTGTCCTGCCATATAGAAAGCTTTCCTTTTGAGTGAACTTGCTGAACTGTTTGTCAGGGCAGAGGGTGGGATAGGTGTTAAACCGTGACTCTGGTAGGTGTAACCAGGTACTGTGGTAGGGGGGAGAGGAGTTGGAGCAGGGATTCCTGAAGGCAGATAGGCTGAAGGAGGAGGTGCGCCACCAGGGCTGTACCCAGGCCCAACAGCACTTTGAGGGGGATAGCTTGCGGAGGAATAACTATAACTGGAAAGGTTAGATGTCCCATTGTAGCCTGGCACTAGGGCTGGTGGGGGTGGTGGAGGTGGGGGCGGTTGTAAAAGCCCAGAGCTATGCAAAGGGGATGGATGAGGTGAAGGAAGTGCAGGTGCTGGCTGGCCACTGTAACTTGTATGCAAGTAAGATCCGTTGTATCCAGTAGCATATTCCTGAGATGGGAGCCCTGAATGCAAACTAGGTACAGTGTGACTTCCACATGTACTGCTAGAATAGCTAGGTTCTGTCAGGTTACTGGCCACCCCAGGTGAACTCCCTATGCTGGCAGAAACATCCGCTGGAGGGAGGGCAGTACTTACTCCAGCTTTGCTGGCAGTAATAACATCTGGGACACAGTTCATGGGATAAACACTCTCAGAGTTCAAAGAAGGCTGCCAAGGTTCACTCTCACTCTTGCGACCATTCACCAGTCCTGATGGAGGCTCTGAATAGTTACTCAGAATGGGCCGTTCAGCTGGCCCTTCCAAGATACCAGAATACTTTTCTGCGTATTTTTTTAGTAGATTTGAAGCAGTAAGAGCAGAGATGTCATCATTAGCCCAAGCATACTGGTAGGTGCGCTGCAGGTGTCCGCGGTAAGCTTCTACCTTGTGGGCAGGAGAACGGGTCGTGGAGGTGATATCAAAGTGCTGCTCTGGCCACTGGGCATGCTCTGGCGTCCACTGCATCTTCAAGCCTGAGGATTTGGGGTGGGGTGTGGGGAGGCAGGAAAGAAACAAAATTAACAATGATATGGAATAATTCATTTTTTTAAAAAAGACTAGATCACTACATTTTCTCCTTTACAGATAAAATGATTTCTGTTTTTAAAGACATCAGAGTACTTAAAGTCATAAATATGAAAATTGTCTTTAAGAGTATCAACATCTTTGTAAAGACACACTAACATCCATGTGGCATATTTTGCTCATTTAAATGGAATAGAATCCATTTCTTAACCAAGCTTGATTTTTTTTAAAAGACAGACTAAGCTGTGTTTTTTTTTAAAAAAATGACCATAGGCATTTTATTTCCTGGGCACGGAATCATTGTTAGGTAACTCATTCTCAGATACCCTGAACATTCTGTCTTTCCTCATCACAGTTTTAGTTTTAAATTTTAACAGATTTTTTCCCCCTCTAAAAACCTACAAGACACAGCTGACAGATCACATCTAGGATACCTTTCTTATTTGGTACTGAATACCTAGTTAGCACAGTATAATGCACCCTGCGCAGAACAATATGACACAGACATAGCAGGTCATTCCATAATCCAACTCTCATCTAAAGTGGTCCACGACAGTTTCAAATCTGCTTCGTGGAGTGCAGCAAAGCAATCTCCCAGGCAGCGCTCCGTTGCTTTCATCACACAAAGCCTACAACTCGGTATGAATTACAACTGGCTGCTCTCTGCCTCACTGTTCTGTTGTTGAGGCTCAGGGAGGATGGGGGGGGAGTGGTGGGGGAGAAGCAATGCCCAAGCATCACTTGTCTATCGGTCTTTTCTCTGCTTTCCCTATTCCAACTCCCTGTCCCTACAGAAGAGAGGGGCACGAGAAAAGAGAGAATTAAACATGGCCTAGGCACTAAAAATAAGGGTGGGGTGGCAGTTCATGGGCTGCAGACCTAGTAGCCCAGTGAATCTTCTGCTTTAGCAGAATTCATCATGCCATCATGTGTTCTTTAGTTCTGTTTTGGTCATCCACTAGACAAGGCAGGCAGAGTTTTCCATCATTAAAAGAAAAGCAGTTTCCAGCCTTACTTGTGCATGGCAGGTGGCATTAAGGCAGGCCTCGGTAATCTCGTGCTCATTTTACAAAAAGTGATATTTATTTTTTCACAACCTGCCTCGTGCCCTCTGGCACCGATTCTCGGATAAGAAGGCTTAGTCTAAATGAAACATCTGTGACATGGGGGGAGGGGGTTCTCTTATGAATTCCTGCAGTCTATTTATGACAGCATGTACCCCTTCTTGTCTGGCTTTTCTTCCCAAACCCCTTTAGCTCTCCTTTGCCCGACTCCAGCATTTGTGACATGACCAGCTTAGCCCTGATGAGCTCAACCTAACACAGCATACAGTTTGGTAACAGAATGGCATGTTTATTCCCTTCTGATTCCCTCTTTCTTGTTTGCACATCCGCTGCACCAGACACAGGAAGTTAATTAGCAGCATGATGCTGTGCTAATTGTGTTAATTTACAAGGTTTTAGTCAAAGAGAATCATGCCAGGGCTGGCACTGTTGTCAGGCTTCCAGCTTAATGATTAAGAAATACTGAAAACAAGGTGGGAAGAATTGCTGTAATTACACAATAAATTAATAGAGCAACAGGATTAATTTGTAAATATATTTTATTGCAGCCCTGTTCATTTGAATTGGGGTTGTTTGGGATGGGATTTGTTAATATGATGCACATAAGCATGCTTTTGCTAATCCGTGGGGTCACTTAGCGTAGGAATTTTTTTAAGCTCTTGAGGTTCACCTGTTAGCATTAATAACAGTCTTACTTTGCATGAGAATGTACAGGCAGGATCCTAATATTATGCAAAATTCTGACAAAGATCTGGCTAACTGCTATACCTTTGACCTGCATTGCATAACTCAGACATCCTTTCCAAAAATGGAAGTTGCTTCTGACAGGCTTGTTTTCATTTTGAGCAAAGAAAAACAAGTACAGTTAGAGAAGGATTTGTTTCTACTAAAAAATGACACTCAATGGCTTATTGGACATTAATTTGAAACTAATAATAAAAGCAAGCCAGAAGCAAACAATCAACAAAGTTTAACTCAGGAAAGAGAAGGAAATTAATAAATGAGCCAAACTTGTTTAACAAGTACAGATTATCCTTCTTTTTAAAATTATTTTTACATTTCACAAATACAGATTTTGAGTGACTACAAATCACAGAAGAGTACCAATTTCATATGTAAAAGCTCTACAATGGCAATAGGTTGATGCTTATCTTTATGTGTATGGATAAGCATTCTGCAAAAAAAGAGAGAGATTTTAAGTTTATGCAGCTGGGAATGGTAAGTAATCGTAGTTATAATTTACTTTAAAAGCTTAATTGAAAAGACAGTATTGAACATGCTTTAACACAATGGCTACAGTCCTGCACGCATTCATTGCTCTTGTCCCACTCCAATGAAGATGATCTAAATGTGTTTTTTTTTTCTCCCCTTGGAAAATTGGCCTAACAATAGTAGCAGCATTTTACATAGTATTTTAGGTTTATGATGTATGAATTGTTCCACATTTATTAACTTGCTGCCAATCTTATGGCTACCCTGTAAAATAAGTCCATATTATTGTTTCCGTATTGTAGTCGGGAGACTTGAGGCTAAAATATTAGTTCTGTTTGTGCCACTGTACAATATCTGTAATGGTAGCTTATTACAGAGGTAAAGGATAATGGTCAAACTCTTAACTGTAACTATTTACTTTTGGCAAGTAACTTTCCAAACTCTAGAAAAATGACTACAGTGACATTCACTGTGGGGAAATATATTTCAGCAGGATCTCCAAAACATTTAATATTACATACTGTGGTGACATAATTAAGTCAATGATAAGAATTTGACCAAATAAATAGAGTTATGCTATAATATGACACACATTTTTATTACCTTAAGAACCATATGGTAAACAAAGGAAAGTTCGGAAGATAGAAATGAGGGCTAAAACACAGTGTAGTGCAATTACCAATTTAAAGACCAAGGTGTAACTAATACAGAAACTTTCTAATGAAACAAACACAACCCCCCCCCCCTTAATTAGGCTAAATTTTGTAGTACAAAATATCTTCTTTTCTTTCAGAACTGACCTTAAAAGCTATTAGGAATTTCCAGCAAAGTCATCATCCCTCTGGTAAAAAATGATCGTATGCATCAAAACTATTTGGCATAATTACTAGTTAGCCCATTGGTTTCAGATTGCTATCCTGGCTCTGCTCACTGCACAATAATTGAAAGTTTATTTATTGATGCATATTAAGTACCAGTGCATTTAACTAAAATGGTAAAAGGCAGCATTTCAGAATTTAAAAAATAAGACCTTCTGAAAATATATCCTCATATGTAAGCATTTGCTGTACCTCGCTGCAATAATTAGTGCTATTTGGAAGTTAAGAGTGAATTGTAAAGCCATTTTCCATATTAATACAGAACACGCTAGGGCCGACGGATCAAAGATTCAAAAATAAAGAACATTGCAAGCTACGCTATCTGTTTTATGGGGCTCTCTGGAGCTGTAATGCTCTGACACATTTTTGCAAGCTGCAATATTCCTTTAAAATAACAGACATCTGGCAACCCTGTTATGAACTCAAGTAACATGCACTGAAATAGAGACCAATGTCACTAAAATCTTTAATGCCAGTTCTACTGACATTTTATCTAGCACAGGCTATGTGGACCCATTGTATTAGTACAATAGTTGTGTTTGGGGTAGAAAAAGAAAACTGAAAACATCATCTTAAGAGGAAAAGAAAATGATCAACTGAAGAGCAAAGATGTGCAGTTGTCTAAAGTCTGTGTAAAAGGTTCCAAAAATATTTTCCTATACAGAAATATCACTCCATTTTCCTTTGCTGGTTGTTGCATAATCTGCAGCAATCAAATTATTTTGTGACTGACATTTTTGTTGTTGTTTTTAATATCCCATTATTTTCTGCTTATTAAACTGGAACAAAGAGAAAGCTGTTTCAAAATGCTTTATGGGTTTTGTATAAATACTATGTATAAACTATACAAGGAGCTTCATAAATTCGCTCTCTCCCATCCTGTGTTGCAAAATTGACTAAAAGTAAGGGGGGTTGACAGTTGAGACCTGTTAAGACTTAATGAGATCAGTTTCAGAATCACAGCACATATGGGGCCTCATCCTGCAAACAGAGTCATCTGGCAACCCTGTCACTCCTGAGCCCCCCAAATACATTGAAATGCTCAGGAACAGCGCATCTCAGAAACTAATTCTTTTAATAGGAAGTAGAACAAATTATACTTTACTGGTTTGCCATAAAAAATCTTTTTTTTTAAAAAAAGTCAATGTCATACTTGATGTAGTACTATCAAAGTCCATGTTTCTTAGTGTTTTTTTTCTTTCCTTACATGATGGAAGTGATTGATTGGAACTGATGTTAACTGTTGACATTGCTTCAAACCTAATTTGATTACCCAATTTGGTGGCAAAAGAAGCAAAACTGAAGCAGTTATGTTTCAGTGTAGAAGGGACAGAAGAAAACAAGAGGACAGAGAGAAATTCGCTTGGAGAGAGGTGGCGATACCTTCAGCTTCATTCCAGGTTAAGAGGGTTCCACTTAGCGTAAAACTATACGGAATAACATTGTTGGGTGGTTTCATTTCATTTCATTTCACTTTGTTTCTTTATTTGGAAGATATCTTCACTTTAAATTAAGACAGGCAAATATTTGACTCCATTCTATGTTCAATCTATATCAATGTATAATTACCTTGTATTATTAACTCAGCTATATGTAAAGTTGACTTAATAATACAAGGTAATTATACAATGATGTATATGTATGTAAAGCAGGGTCCTCTGGTGGCACAGTGGGTTAAAGCGCTGAGCTGCTAAACTTGCTAACCGAAAGGTTGCCGTTCGAATCCGGGAAGCGGGGGGAGCTCCTGCTGTTAGCCCCAGTTTCTGCCAATCTAACAGTTTGAAAACATACAAA